TTGAAAGGCACTTATGTATGCATAACTCTTTAGAGTTCTGCAGTGGAGGGGGCTGGTTGTGTGGAGTGGGGAATGACTAGAAGGGAGCTTCCATGTGGGAGAAATTACATCGTGTTTATGAGCTGATGAGGACTGTGAAGTTAGGAAAATCACCTTGTAGGAAACAGAATTGTTAAAGCTATTTCCTTGAGTAGGTGAGAGGGGATGGAATTAGTGCAGGTGTAGTGTGATACAGAACTGTCATTGGGAGCTAGACAGTTCATCCACAGTACTCAAGGGAAGAGAGACTGTGAGGAAGTGAGCCAGAGTGATGGCTCGGAAGTTAATTGCTTTTCATTCAGTACAGTGGCTGCACCTTACACAACTGCTGTTCCAACCTGTAATTGCAACTTCTCAGCTACCAACAGCGATTTGATTCAGCTGCATGGGCACAGCCAGGCAGGAATTCTGTTCTCTGGTCACTGGCTCCATCACAGCTGCTAAAGGAAACTTTATCTAAATCTCTATCCGTCTATAGAACTCAGGATTCAAAGGCTGACGTGAAATCCTCCTTGCTCAGAGAGGCTGAATAACAAACAGCTAACCTTCTTTCCTTGCTCAGGTCTCCTGAAAAAGGGGTGACTTCTGCTCAGCCCTGACTAAAGAACCGCTATACTTAGTTCCTCCCTACCACTTCCCGTCAGCTAGATGCTGACGCAACCTCCTGATCCCAGGTTGATTTTATTTAATCAAACATATATAACACATCTTTGCATTAACAAAGGCAGCAGAGACAAATGCAACCCGCCTTTACACAGTTAAAACAATATTCCACAACAGTTAGTAGCATTTTCTGCTCTTGAAGCTGACCCAGGGTCAGTTTCCAGCACTCACGGGGAATAGGGGTGGGGCATAATTGATTCTAACTCCAGTTCAGGATCTGACACCCTCTATTGGCCTCTGAGGGCACAGCATATATGTGGTGCACATACAAACAAGAAGACACACACACACGTTAATAAAAATAAGTAAAATTTGAGAAGAAAGAATATAAGGAAACAGATGTAGGCAGGTGTCCTTAGAAGATTCCCAGTTGCCTTTTCCCCCAAAGACGTATAAGCAGAATTATTGATCGTTGGTGAAGACAGGAAGCTGAAGAGAGGAGTAAAATGATTATCTGTCACCACCCCAGATGTTCTTGGACTCTGGAATCTCAGGGTCTGCTTTCAAGTAAAGTGTGGTCACAGAATGGAAGAAGACAGAAGGTACATAGAGGACCACATATAGACTTTCTGTTGTTGATTAAAACTAACAAAATAGCAAAGAGCACAAGGGAGGGAAGATTCAAACTCTAAAATTTCAGTTGGTGCTCTTCTGGCTTTTAGGCTGAGGCAAAGAAAACACCACAGGTGGAAGAATGCTGTTTGCCACTTGGCAGTTGGTAGGCAGAAGAGCAGTGAGGGAGAGAGGATGAAAGGGGCCCGGAGCATATGCCTAGTGTCTGTCCTGTAACTAGGCCCCAACTCCTAATAATTCATTCAACCCTTATGAGCGGTTTGTAGCCGGGTGGTCGTGGCACATGCCTTTAATCCCAGCACTCAGGCTGATCTCTGTGAGTCTGAGGCCGGCCTGGGCTACAGAGTGAGTGCCAGGTCAGGATCCAAAGCTACAAAGAAACCCTATCTCAAAACAAACAAACAAAAAAAGTGGTTTGTATCCCCAGTGAAACTGTTGAAAAACCTAATTTTTCATTTATGAGTGGTTATCAGTTGGAGATAACTTTGGGGTTAGGGATGGGAGTCTGTGTCCACTTCTCTCAGCACTGGGACCCCATGGTGCAAAGACTGAAGACCCACACTGGCCTTGTGCCCACTCATCTCAGTGAGTTCATTTGTACACTGGTCCTGCTGTGTTTGAAGGCCTTGTGTTCTTGGTTTCTTCCATCCCTCTGGCTCTTAGAATCTGTCTGTTTCCTCTTCCATAAGATTCCCCGAACCTGAGAGGAGGGGTTTGATGAAGATATTCCATTTAGGACTGAGTGTTACAAGGTTTCTCACTCTCTGCTCATTGTCCAGGCTGTGGGTCTCTGTATTTGTTCCCATCTACTGCAAGAGGAAGCTTCTCTGATGATGGAGGAACAAGGCCCTGATCTGTGACCAGCAGAATGTCACTAGGAGTCAGTTTTGTGTTCCTTTAGCAGAACAGCAGTATTTGGCTCTCCCTATGTCTCAGGTTCTTGACCTGTGTCAGGCATGGGTTCCACTTCATGGAGTGGGCCTTAAATCCAGTCAGATTTTGGTTAGTTACTCCCAGAAGCTTTGTGCTATTTTTGAACTAGCACATCTTGCCGGCAGGTCATCATTGTATATTGAAGGGTTTGAGGCTGGGTTGGAGTTTGCCCGTCTTTGGTAGCAGGCAGAGTACCTTTGAGTACCATGAACACCAGTCAGTGGGGATAAAGGCTAGGAGGGCACCCGCTTGACTTCTCCATGTTCAGTGAGTTGTGTGGTGTCGTCTTCATCAATAGAGCCTTGCCATTACTTTGTGGAGAGAAACCAATAGCCTTAGCAATAGCCTGGGTTGTTTGGGGGTTCCCATGGGAACCCTTTGGCCAACAACTCAATTAGATGTAACCCAGTCCCAGTATTGGCAGCTTCATTTGGTGATGAGAGATGTCCAACTGGGGCTCTGTCTCCCCTGTTTCTCTGAGAGTTTTTTTTTTTAGATCCCCTCCATATGTGTATATATTGTAGGAGACTTCTACTGTATTAGGTTTCTATATGACACCTCAAAGGGCCCTTAATTTTAACTGTCCCTTCAACTTCTCCCTTTCTCCCCCACTTTATCCTCCCATCCCTGTTTGATACTCTCATTGCAGTCTCCCCAATCCATCCGTAACTATTTATTCTATTTCCCCTTCCTAAAGAGACCCATCTCCCAGCTCTGGTCCCTTACTCTATGCCTAATCTCTATGGTTCTATGGATTGTACCTTGCTTATTGAAAACTTAACAGCTAACATTCACATATAAGTGAATACATACTATATTTATCTTTCTGGGTCTGGGTTACCTCACTCAGTATATTTTTTTTTCTAGCTTCATCCATTTACCTATGAGTTTCATTATCTCCTATTTTTAATGGCTGAGTAATATTCCATTGTGTAAGTGTAGCACTTTTTCTTTATCTGTTGGCGGTTCCCAAAAGGTGTTATGAATCGAGCAGCAAATGAACATGCTTGAGCAAGTGTCTCTGTCGTGGTAAAGCTGGATCTTGGGGTAGATCAATTCCCAGCTTCCTGAGGAGCCTTCACATTGATTTCTGTACAGATTTGTAGTCCACTTATTCCACATTATCCCCAGCATGAGCTGTCATTTGTCTTACTGACCTTGACCATTCTGACAGGCATAAAATGAAGTCTCAAAGCAATTTTGATTCACATTTCCCTTATGACTAAGGATGTTGAACATTTCTTTCAGTATTTCTCAGCCATTTGTGTTTCCTTTTTGGAGAATTCTCTTCATAGATCTTTACCCCATTTTAAAAACTGGGTTATTTGTTTTCTTTGTATCTAGTTTTTGAAGTCCTGTATATATTTTGAATATTAGTCCTCTATCAGATACGTAGTTGGTAAAATCTTTTCTACTTCTTAGGCTGCCACTTTGTCAGAATGATGGTGTCCTTGGCCTTATAGAAGCTTTTCAGTTTCATGAAGTTCCATTTATTAATTGTTGATCTCAGTGCCTGTGCTAATGGTGTTATGTTCAGAAAGTCTTTTCCTGTGCCAATGAGTTCAAGACTATTCCCCACTTTCTCTTCTGGTTTTAAGTTGAGGCCTTTGATTCATTTGGAGTTGGGTTGTCTGGCAGGAATGCTTGAGCTCCTGTCATGTGCGGCCACTGGGAGTCCTGGGTAGAAGGGGTTTCGGGGTTTTACACAAAGGCGTAGTGATAAGCAAGAAGGGGGTGGCTGAGAGGGTTCACAGCATGGAGGGAAGCTGGGTGTACCATGAGGATCTCCACAGACCCCTGGGAAGTGGAGCAGAGAGGAAAGAGATGTCACACTGTGTGTGTGGGTGGGGGGGGTCTGCTGTAAAGCTGGGGTTTAGACTGGAGGGTGGAAATGGAGGACCGGGTATTCAGGGGGAGCCCCCTGGAGTTAGCACTTGAGGCTTCATTTCATTTGAGACAAGGATTGCTATGTAGTATTGTCTGTCTTTGAATGAGGTCATCCTTCAGTCTCCTGAATGCTAGGATTGCACATCTGGGCCAGCACAACTGACTTTGGTTTATTATTTGACCAGAAGGAGCCTATGTATTTCAGAAATGAGTGAATTATAAACTAGACAATAATTTTTTTTTCTTTTTATAGCCAAGTGGATGGGACCATATACAGGATCAGTATAATAGAAACAAGAGAATGTCCCTGACGTGGGCTAGGTGTTTGCTGAGCAAGCATGGTCTTGATTTAGATCATAGATTCAAGGCTTTAGACACACACACACACACACACACACACACACACACACACACACACACACACAAAGAGTGGGACCTGGTTTTAGTCCCAGTACAGGGACAGTTGAATCCCTGGAATCGTCTGGATAGCCAACCTCATTTAATTAAGGAGCTCCAGTTCCTAGTAAGAGACCTTGTTTCAAAAAACCAAGGCAGACAGCCTTTGAAAATGACACCAGTGTCACATACATGTATCTGTAGCCATACATATACACACGTATGCACACACATACAAGAAAAAATATACATGATATGGTTAACTGTTAGAGCAATTATTAAATTCTTAGAATATTTTTTAAAAAATTGGCAGGGAAAGATATAAAGTAATTCTCTTATACCAGGGGTGTATTAGTTTTATTTTGATGTAGAAATGAGCCTTTAGATTCAGCTGAATTGGAAGGCTGTTGTCTAAGGTCTTGGAGATGCCGTGTGTAAACATGTAGGGCTTCTCAGATCTGTGACAGTTCATTACACTAAGCTGTTAATTTTTTTTTTTTTTCATTCAGGCTTCCCGACAAGCGTCAGGAATTCCGGGGTTTACACCAACTGAAGAAAAGTAAGGTTTTCGTTGCTGCTAGTTCATTTGTGATTTTATCAAATAGAGGCACCTCTCCCTTTTCAGCATTAGAACAAGAAACTATGTTTCATGGAGTTTTTTCTCCCTTTTCCCTTTCTTTTTGGAGGGGGCGTTTGCTGGGGTGTAACCCAAAGCCCCAAGCTTGGTAAACAAATGTTGTCTTTGAACTTTAGCCTCAGTCCTAAACTTTATTTTTACATTACTCATTTTATTTAAATTTACCTAACGTTCTTTATGATCTGGGAGGAAGGCTGTCATTACTTTCCCTTTTCCCCCCATCCAGAGAAAGCTGAAAATAAGACAGAAACAGGATAGAAAAACAAAACAACCTTCGAAGTTGAACTTAGGGTTCCCTCAGTCTGTGAGCATGTCCATGGCTGTCAGGGACCAGCGAACAGTTGGGTGGTTCTCCTGAACGATGTCAGATGTTCCTTGTATTGCTCTTATTTGATTCAAGGTGTCATGAATTCTCAAAATTCTCAGAAAAATCTATCTGATTACTAAATGTAATCACAGAAACCGTGGGGTGGTGAGTATAATCAAGTTTGGGGTTTTTCAATAATTTAAATTAATGAATCTTTCATCTGTTGTCACTGTTAACTCATCGTCAGCTATGGCCGTTCTGATTTTTCCAAGTTAAACTGATTCTATGATGTGTCTATCTTTTATCAGAGATGGTAACCTTCCAGACATTGTGAACAGTGGGAGTTTGCATGAGTTCCTGGTTAATTTGCATGAAAGATATGGGCCTGTGGCCTCTTTCTGGTTTGGCAGGCGTCTTGTGGTCAGCTTGGGCACTGCCGACGTCCTGAAGCAGCACTTCAACCCCAATAAAACTTGTAAGTAACGCTTTCTCCTCAGCTGCTCCTTGCCTTCAGAGAACAAGTGTTTATAAAGAAAGATTGCTGTTGGGTTGGAATGGCTGATGGTGACTAATTGCTCTGTGCTGTGTGTTAGGTGCATACTGAAGTCCTGGTTATTTCATTTAGTAAGATGCAATAGTATGAAATTATCTTTAGTTTACAAATACACACAGTGCAATCCTATTGTAAATTACCTCGGGGTTCTTTTGAAAGATCTTGAGAAAATAGTTCCAGAGTCTGTCTGGAAAGGTTAATGTGTATGAGCAGGTAGGAAAAGCCTGAGGGATATTAGTGAAAGAAATAGCTGTGCTGTCTCAGTGCAGTGTAGGACACTAGATTGATTTAAAGACACACACGGTGATAGGATTAGACTGGTGGAGCCAAGCAGTAACTACTTACTAGATGAGCAGGCACTCGGGAAAAAGAGCATTTTTGTAACAGGAGAAAGGCTGTAGATATTTCTGAGACAGCTGAATAGCTATTTAAAAAGAAATTATGCCTTGCCTTACTTTTGGTATCAAAATACATTTCAGAGCTCGGGAAAGGATTCAGTTGGACAAACACCTAACTAGGCGTGCAGACCTGTGCTCAATCTCCAGCAACCACACAGAAAGCCCGGTGTGGTGACATGCTCTTGTCATCCCAGAGCTGGGAAGGTAGCATTGAGGACCCAGGTTCTGTTACCAGCACCCACATGAAGGCTCACAGCAGACTGTATCTCCCATTCTAGAGGATGCTGCACCCTGTTGTAGCTTCTGCATGTGTGTGGTATACACACATGCATTCAGGCAGAACATCCAGGCCAAAAAAAAGAAAACACAGCTTTTGAAAAAGTAGTCATGTCCATGAATGTTTTGTGCAGGCATTAGTGAAGCATGGTGGAATTTTGCCTGTTCTCACTGACCCTCGAACTGTTGAGATTTATAAAAGACTGTTAATAGTGCTCTGGGAAGATGGCCTTGCTCTCTGCTCTCTCCCTTACCTCACTGGCCTCTGTTTTCTTGTTGAATATTTTTCTTTTGAATTATTATTTTAATATAGAAACACTGAATCTGTCTCTTTCAGCGGACCCATTTGAAACCATGTTGAAGTCATTACTAGGGTATCACTCTGGTGGCGGGAGTGTGAGTGAAGACCACATGAGGAGGAAACTGTATGGAAATGCCATGACGGCTGCTTTGCAGAGTAACTTTCCTCTCCTGGTAAAGGTAAGGTGGTAAACACTTGGTTTGCAGTATAGACAATGGTGTTTACAGAGTGTAGACAACGGTGTGTACAGTGTGTTCCAGGTGGTAAGCACTTTGTCTGCAATGTAGACAATGGTGTTTACAGAGTGTAGACAATGGTGTTTACATTTATCCCAGGTGATAAGTGCTTGGTCTGGTGTTATGCAGTGTAGACAGAGTGTCTCTATCAGTAAGCCTTATGTCTGCCACTCTTCTCTTACCTGTTTTTCTAAGCTACTTTTTAAAGATTGTATTAGTAGTAGTAGTAGTAGTAGCAGTAATTATAGGTAGGTGCGCATGTCTGCTGGCACTGGGTGACTTGACTAGTCTAACTAGCTACCTTGCTTCAGAGAACCCCTGTCTCTGCCTCCTGAGTGCTGGGATTAAAGGTGGGCCACCATTGATGTGGGGCTGGGGTCCCCACTATAGTCTCATACTCTATTCACTGAGCCATCTTCCTGGCCCCTCAGGTCACTCTTAGGCCAATGTTGCCTAAGCATGATCTGAGTACACAGGACATGGAACTCTCGGTGAAAGTGCAGATTACTGGGCCTCTGCTTGGATATGCTGAGTTGGTGGAAGGGGGAGCCCAGCATCTTCAGAAAGTTCTGCAGGTAATCTACAAAGTCTGAGTGTGATGATGATGACGACACATATCCATACTGTACTAGTCCATTTTAGTTGTTGTGGGAAAGTACCTAGGAAACAGTTTACGGGAGACAGAGTGTGTTTTGGTTGATGGTTTTAGAAGCTTCTGTCTGTGGTGGCTGGTTCTACTGCTCATCGACCTGTGGCAAGACAGAAGCATGGTGTAAAGTTGTGAAGGGAAACTGCCAACCTAAGATAGCCAGAAGGCAGAGGGTGAGAAGGGGCGCGGGTGGGGCAGATGTACCTTCACAGATGTGATCCTTTCTCTGATTGCCCTGACCTAGTAGTCCATGAATATTAATTTATCAGTGGTTTAGCTCATTAATAAATGTAGCGCTTCATGATCTTGTCTCAATTAGTGCATGACACATAAACCTTCTGGGGGGACATGTCATACTCAAGCCTGAACAAACCATTTCCTTTTTGTCCCGAAAGGCTCTTAGCTAAGCTGTGTGTGTTACTGGGCAGTTTTCTGTCCTTACCTTCATCTTACCCACCGCCGCTGGCCATTCAACCCCTGGGTGTGTTGCAGATGTTCTTGCTTCCTGCTTTGCTGAGTCCCTAACTTGTCAACTCCTCCTCTCTCATACCTTCTGCAAACCTCTCCATCTCAACACTTTTTCTTTCTCTTGATCTAAATAAGTCTCAAGGAATGCTTTTGTTTTCTTCCTCTTCCCCTCTCCCTACCGTTGCAGTACTGGTATTAAGTGTTCTATTGCCTAGTTCTAAGAATTCTTTCTTCCATTCAAAGCTAATCTACTCACCTTTGACCTGTTAAAATAATTTAGTTTATCAAAGTAATGTGTCATAGGTATTGAAAACATGGAAACTAACTGTATAAACAAGTCACAATTTCACTATATATAGTGATATAATATATAATATATATAGTGATATAATATATAATAATATATATTAATATATATTATTGACTGAGTTTGATGTTAGTCTGGACAGTTTATGGAAGCCCTGTCTCAGAAAAATAGGTAAGTCCTAAGTAAATAGTGGTTAAGTGATCAGTCAGCAAGGAAGTGTTGAGCGCTCTGTGAGAGCTTTGTCTTTTACCAGCAGCTTTTTTACTGTCAGGCAGAACAGCACCATTTGCCAGAGTTGCAGCCTTAAAACAGGTCACAGGCTTCACATCACCACAGTAATCCATTTGGCTTGTATGGTCTGATGACTGAACCTTCTTGACTTCACCCTCTGTGCTCCAGCTCCTTTCTGTCCTGACCTTGGAGTGAATCTCCACTTGAATTCTGTGAGTGTCTCTTCTCTCTTTTGTACTCCTATGGTGCTTTTTCCAAGCCTTTTGGGCTATATTCTGATGAAACAAATTCTTCTGGATTTTAAACGTCAGAATTCACTTAACTGATAGAGTCGTACAAATATTAATAGCCAAACATTTTGAGTTAATTGGTTATATTAACTTACTTAATCCTTGATAATTTTATAGGTAGATGTTATTTCTCCTTTTTAAAGATAAAGAGACCAAGTCGTGTGCCCAAAATCATACAACCATAAATAGTAGGAAAAGGTTTGCCATCAGGCAATCTGGTATCAAGCTGATGTCTTACCCATAAGGCTATATTGCCTCTTTGTAGCTTGATCCTCCCCTCATGTAACTTTGCTTGGATAATTTTATTATATTCTTTAGTACTATTAACATCCTAATGCAAGGCAGAATTAAAAGTCACTTCTTGGAAATATCAATAATTGCTGAGTATTGTCGTGCACACACCTTTAATCCCAGCACTTGAGAGGCAGAGGCAGGTGAATCTCTGAATTCAAGGTCAGCCTGGTCTATAGAGTAAGTTCCACAACAGTCAGGACTATATAGCAAGACTGTGTATTGGGAAAAACAAAAATCCAAAACCAAACCAAACAATATATTAGCAATTTCACAATAATTATTAAATAATTGTTTAGTTTTTGAAAGAAATTTTATATTTTTTTTTCTGAAGAGCTCATTTACATTCCAGAATGTCATCTGCTGAGGCTGAGTCATGGTGGTGCCTGCAGTCCTCGAACTGGTGAGGCTGCGGCAGGAATGTTAGGTGTTTGAGGTCAGTCTGGGCTATATAGTGGGAGTGTTTCTTTTTTTTTTCTTTTTGAGACAGGTTTCCTCTATGTAGCTCTGGCTGTCCTGGAATTTATTATATAGATTAGGCTGACTTCAAAGCATGCCTGGTTGAGATTGTTTCAACAAACAAATAAACAAATTGAATCCTATCTGTTAAATTATAATCCTGCCTCCAAGTATAGTTAGTTTAAGGTTATTTTTTTCTGTGCAGTATTATGCTAGTTGTAATTACCATAGTTACTGTACTTTGATTATTTTGAGAATGTCTCTAAGTTGTTGTGTCCTTAGAGGATGTGTGATAAGATTGATAGCACATGTTCCTGACTTTTGACAGTTTATACATCATATACATGTAATTTACTTGTGGGATGATAGCTTGTAATAGAATATTGCAGCATAGACATTTTCCTGTGACTTGATCCCCGGAATCAATAGAGAACTGTCATTCTTGTTAATGTACACTGATCACATGTGACAGACTTTGAGGACAGACTTAAAAATGTCTTTTAGGAAAAGAAAACATTTGTTTTATATTTGGACATTTCTTCTCGTACTAAGTCAGCTAAAATACTGAAATTATCAAATGAAGCTTCCTAGAATTCTCACCTGAGACAGCCGGCATTCACACACGGAAAGGGTTTCATATACTATAGCAGGTAAGCTAGTTATTCTTGCCTAAAGAACAGAAAAAATATGTACCGGCGAGTCAGTTATAATATGTTCATATTTTGAAAATACTTTATGCTTGGGGTCACCACACATGAGGAGGTTGGGAACCACTGGATTAAGGCATGCATGAACAGATCACAGCCCAGTTTGTGTTTAAGTGGCTTAAAGAACATAGTTTACCGGCTTGCCTCAATTTTCTTAGCTGTGCAGTCACTCAGGGTTTCATGTAAAAACTGGCCATGTGACAGAGCTCTTTTACAACCTGAAGAAAAAATGAACCCCAGTAGAAATGCATTATGTAGAGGAACAACTCAATGGCCAATAACGAGAAACAGTTTAAGTCAAATGAAGTAATGTTGAGATTTGGTGTTTTGACTGAGAAGTTTTGAAATTACAGTACATAATGCTATCAAAGACAGGAGGCTTGGAATTATGACACTGCTGAGGAAAGTAAGTTGGTACATGGCTTCCAGGGGCAGCGTAGCAAAGAGGCATTCCCTCTTTTTTTTTTTTTTAAAGATTTTATTTATTTATTATGTATACAACATTCTGCTTCTGCGTATATCTGCACACCAGAAGAGGGCACCAGATCTCATTACGGATGGCTGTGAGCCACCATGTGGTTGCTGGGAATTGAACTCAGGACCTCTTGAAGAGCAGCCAGAGCTCTTAACCTCTGAGCCATCACTCCAGCCCGAGGCATTACCTCTTAATCCAGATATTTCACATCTTACAGAAGCTGAATGCATTCAGAGGTGTGTTTGAAGATTACCTTCTAAGTGCTTTATTGTAGCAGAAATTGAAAGGGCCTTAAATGAATGTTTAGCAATAGATTAACTAAATGATAGCAAATCTATATAATAGATTAGAATTAAGAAAGGTAGCAGGGGTATTTGTTTATTTATTGACCTTGGGAGCTGATGGCATAGGTCTGACACTCAGACCTATGTTTGTGTTTCCCTAGAGTGCACAAGCCGTGAACTTCATGCCCAGAGCCTGCTTCTTAGATGGTGTGTCAGCTTCTGAGGGCAAATATAAAAAAGCACCACAAATTCACAGGGTTGCTTTGTTTCAGGCTGGGTCTCACTGTATAGTCATAGCTGGCCTGGGACTCACTATATAGACCAGGCTAGCCTTGAAATCAGAGAGATCTGCCTGCCTGTGCTTCCTGAGGACTGAGATTTCCAAGCTCATGGTGTCAGAAGGACTAGTCCCTGTTAGGACTACATGATGGTTAGTTTTATGTGTGAATTAAATTGAGCTAAAGGATGCCCAGACAGCTGGTGAAGCATTAGCTCCTGGTACATCTGTGAGGTATTTCCAGAGGCTGTTAACCCTTGGTCTGACAGAGTAAAGGTAGCTCTTACAGTGAAAGTAGCCATCATTCAGGCTGCTGAGGACCTGAAGATGATGGTGGTGGTGGTGGTGATCATGATGAAGAGGAGGAAGAGTGAACTTGCTCTTCATATAAGCTGAGACATTCATTTTCTCCTGCTTTTAGATATCAGACATTGGGCCTTTTTTATAATTTTGTGTGTATATGAAAGCTTATGTATAAAAATGTCAGTTATCTCTACCTGGGCCAAATGTAGGGGAACTAAAAATAATTTCTGGGGCTTGAGAGTTGGCTCAGTCGTGAAGAGCACTATTGCTCTTACAGAGGACCTGGGTCCAGTTCCCGACATGCACATGGTATAATCCATAGGAAAGGCTCATTTCTCTATTGCATGGTAGTGTCACATCTGTCACTTACCAGCTCCATGTGTGGGTCATTTGACTTACCTAAAGTTATCTGCACATGAGTTATATAAAAACACGTGACATGAGATCTTCCATCCTTGAATACGGAAGAATAGTGTACTGTTTATTTTGATCTTTATTTTTTTCTCCTTAATTCTTGTACTTCATAAGACAATTATAAACAATCTGTCTTTAAATTTATTCTTAAGTTGTAGCGGTGCATTGTGTACCACATGAGTGTGAAGGTCAGAGGATGACATTTTGGGAATAGTTCTTTCCTTCCACCATATGGGTCCCAAGGATGAAATTTAGGTTGTCAGGCTTGGTGGTGGGTGCCTTTACCTGGTGAGGTAAGTCAGTGGTCCACCTGCCCCCATTTCTCTATTTTTTTCTTTTATTTGTGAGTGTGTGTGTCAGAGAGAGACAGAGACAGAGAGGATGACTTGAGGGAGCTCTACTGTGTAAGTCCCCATGATCAAACTCAGTTGTCCTGTCAAGTGCCTTTAACTGATGAGTCATAGACTGTCATTTTTCTTGGTTGTCATTTCTACAAGAAGCCTGGGCTTCTTCATAGACAGTTTCCTTTGAGTCTTTATTTCCTGTGGATCACCAGACTTTCTTCTTTGTTTGTGTGCCTCTTTTTTTTTTTTTTTTTCTAATTTAAAACGGCACTCTTTACATACATCTGGGGCATCTCTTGGCATCAGATTCTCCACCTGCCTGGGAGTTTGCCATTTGTGGCCTGTGTGATTATTATTCTTTGCTCATTTAGTGTCTTTTCCAAACTCTCCTTATGGAGTCTGCTTTTTGTCGAGTGTGGCTGCTGAAGTATCTGTTCCCATAGCTTAGTGCCCAGGGAGGATGCTGATTTCACCCACAAAGCTTGCCAACAACAAGAAAAGAAGGAAAGCTTATCTCAAAAAAACCAAAAGAGAAGGGGGGGGGAAAGAGAGGGGGGAATGAAACAAGATAAAAAAGCTCTCAGTGGTTGTAGATTGGCTTTGTGTTGGGAGTGCCCTTTAACACTTACCCAGGCTCTTTATATCCAACCTTAGCTTGTACTTCCTGCTTGTACAGATGTTGATGCTTGCCAGATGTGAAAGCTGAGTGTCTTCTGGGGTCTTTCTGAGCATGTGGTCTACCTGTGGGCATGCACACAAATAGACACCCTGGTTTAGTAAGTAACCCTCTCGTAGGAGTGTGTGTTCTGGACTCCTAGTGAGTTCTCCCAAACTCTGTAGTACCAACCCCCATATAGGCTCGGATTTTGTTTGCTTGTCAGCAGCAGTGGTGCTTGCATCAGACAGCTCCAGGGTGCTGCTTGTCAGATTCACACCCTGGACAGGACAGAGCAGGCCTGCTGAGATTTCAGCACACTTTTCTGAGCAGTATGCAGTGTAAACTCAGAAAGGATTTCTAACACTCTCCACTTTATATTTCTAGAGCAGCCAGATCCTTAGGCAGAGAGACTGCTATCTGTGACTTTTTTTAATTTGGGACATGAAATTCATGTTTCTGTCGTGTCCGTCTGTTTTGTGGTGCTGGGGATTGAACGCAGGACCTGGTGCATGTTGGGCGTGTGACAACCAGCCAGCTACACTGTCAGCCTGAGAGTCATTTTGAGTTGTATAGTATAGTATCAAAGTTCTTGTAAGAAATGTTACCTGGCTCAATGGATTAGTCTTGACACTTTGGAACTCTTAAGATCCCCCTCTTACTAGGTTTAAGATTTTTCCATTTTGAATATTTAGCTTATATTTTCTGTGTTTATTTTTGTGGCCACCCTGTCTTATTTTAGAAATTAGTCCTTTTATTGATGCTAAGGCCATCCACTGAAGATGTCGTCACAGGTCAAGACACAGCATGAAATCCCTGAGTGTTTAATTTGGTTACACAGTTGTATATATGACATATGCTGTCTTACCGAATCTCCAGAATTCAGAGAAAGAAAAAGTGAAGAGTTATCTGTCTGTTCTTTTCAGCTTTCAGAAGAATTGTTGGATAAATGGCTGTCCTACCCAGAGACCCAGCATGTACCCCTGAGCCAGCATGTCCTTGGTTTTGCTTTGAAGTCTGTCACACGGTTGGCACTGGGTAGCACGTTTGAAGAAGAGCAGGAAGTCATCCACTTCCAAAAGATTCATGGCACTGTAAGTCAAGAACAACATTTAAAATGTTCTTTCATCAGACTGCATAATTGAATGCTGACTTTACCTCTCAAAAGGTAGGTGTGTGTGTGTGTGTGTGTGTGTGTGTGTGTGTGTGTGTGTGTGTATTATGTTTGTATGGATGTTTGTACACATACACTCATGTATGTGATCACCTGAGATTAATATTCGGTATCTTCCTTTTATCTATCCCATCTTATTTTTGAGATAGTACCTATGCCTGAGTCCTGAGCTTAGCGATCAGTTAGAGTGACTGGCTGGGAGCTTCAGGGATCTTATCATCACCATGCCTCCAGCATAGGGTTGTAGGTGTGGGTCACTATGCCTGGCTTTTGTGTAGATTTGGAACGCTGTATCTCACACTTGCACAACAGACACATTACCAACTGATCCATCTGCCCAGCTGTGTGTCTCTCAAGAAGATGTAAGCATCTCTGTTTTGACTTAAAAAGAACAGTAGAAGTTGAGATGACTGGTGCTTTTTTGTATTATGTGAAGATCTCTTTTCTTTTTAGGTAAACATTTTGAAATGTAAAAAAGTATATGATTAAAAAAAAGCTTTAATACTTAACAGTATACTATAAAAGTACTATTGAATTCTATCACAAAGGGAAAGCTACATTTAATAGAACTAGATTGTGACCTACATAGAAAGTTCAACACGATCAGTGGAGCATGACGTCTCTAATGAGGTGAACATGTTTAGCAGCAAGGCTAATTCAGTCTAAATTGAGTAACTTTGGTTTCAAGGTAAGATTAAAAATTTTTAAATTTATCTGTTTTCGTTTCATGTGCATCGGTGTTTTGCCTACATGATTGTCTGTGTGAGGGTGTCAGATCCCCTCGAAGTGGAGTTACAGACAGTTGAGAGCTGTCATGTGGGTTCTGGGAATCAAACCCGGGTTCTCTGGAAGAACAGTCAATCAGTGCTCTTAACCACTGAGCCATCTCTCCAGCCCCCAAGATTAACTTATTTTTTGAAATCATATTTAGGTCATGAACTCTACCACTTTGAGATTTGAGCAATTGTTCCTTACATTATTTAAGTCCACAAATAGTTGAACAGTTTTTCCTTATGTTTCCTTTTCTTTCCTCCTTTTTTGTTTGTTTGTTTTTTGAATTTTTGAGACAGAGTTTCTCTGTGTAATAGCCCTGACTGTCCTGGAACTCACTCTCAAGACCAGGCTGGCCTCGAACTCACAGAGATCTGCCTGCCTCTGCCTTCCCAGTGCTGGGACTTAAAGGCCTGTGCCACCACCACTCAGCTGCTGGTGCTTTGATGCCATCGTCATTGTCGTCGTCGTCGTCGCTTCTTCTTCTTCTTCTTCTTCTTCTTCTTCTTCTTCTTCTTCTTCTTCTTCTTCTTCTTCTTCTTCTTCTTTTCTTATCCTCCCCCTCCTCCTTCTCCTCCTCTTCTTCCTTCTTCTCCTCTTCCTCCTCCTCCTCCTCCTTTTCCTGTGCAGCTCTGGCTGTCCTGGAACTCCCTTTGTAGACCAGGTTGGCCTCAGACTCACAGAGATCAGCCTCTTCTACCTCCCTAGTGCTTAGATTAAAGTCATATGCCACCACACCCAGTTTAATATTTAAAGCAATGTGTTCTAAACAACAATCATCAGGAACTGAAGATTACTACCTTGTCACTCTATAACATTACATGTGTGTTGGCAGGTGTAAATGCATTTGTGTGCATGTATGTGGGGAGGCCACAGGACAACTTCTGATGTCGCTCTCAAGATTGTCATCCATCTACTTTGAGATAAGGTCTTTTCATTTTTTTTCTGGAGCTCATCAGTCTTCCCAGCAAGGGGTCCTCCTGTGTCTACCTTGCCAATGCTGCAATTACAGTTAGGCATCCCCAACCCCACTGTCTTAGTTAGGGTTACTATCGCTGCAGTGAAATACCATGACCAAAAGCAAGTCGGGGAGGAAAGGATTTATTCAGCCTCTACTTCCACATCATAGCTCATCACTGAGGGAAGTCAGGACAGGAACTCAAACAGGGCAGGCACCTGGATGCAGGAGCTGATGCAGAGGCCATGGAGGGAACACTGCTCACTAGCTTGCTCCTAATGACTTGCTCAGCCTGCTTTCTTATAGAACCCAGGACACCAGCCCAGGGATGGCACCACCACAAGGGGCTGAGCCTTCCCACATTGATCACTACCTAATGAAATGCCTTACAGCTGAATTTTATAGATGTGTTTTCTCAATTGAGGTTCCCTCCTCTCTGATGACTCTAGCTTGTGTCACATTGACATAAAACTAGCCATTATACCCAGTTGAAATGTTATTTTATTTATTTATGTCATTAGAATGTGTGCATGCCTGTGCTGGTGACGCATTTGTGCACTCATGAAGCCTAGAAGAGGCATTGGAGTTACGGGGACTCTGCCTGTTACACGGTGTGGGGTTCCAGACTCTAGTCCTCACGATAGTGTATCTAGCACTCTTAACCAACCACTGGGCCTTTTCTCCAGTCCTCTACTTTTTTTGTGTGGGTTCTGGGAATCAGGCTCAGTTCCTCATACTTATAAGGCAAGTGGTTTATTGACTGAGCCATCTCCACTTTTATATCCATACACTCTTGTAGTTGGTTTTTTGTTGTTGTTGTTTTCTTCTCTCTTCACTGTTTGTGGACCTGTCACTCAGATCCCAAATAAATACATGGAGACTTATTCTTTCTTATGAATGCCAGGCTTTAGCTTGGCTTATTTCTAGCCAGCTTTTCTTAAATTATTCCATCTACCTTTTGCCTCTAGGCTTTTACCTTTGTTTCTGTATATCTTTTCTTTTGTTTAAGATTTGTTTCTTGTCTAATGACCCAGTTTTCAAAGATTCGAAGCTATTCTTCTGCTTATTATCTTCAAATCTTAGACTAAATTTTAATAGTTCCTTGGCCTCAGCCAGTGTTTATCAATATCTCAAGTGAAATAATTGATAAATTACCTATGATTTATTTGATTCCCTTACATCTGAGGGGATTACATATATATATATAATAATGTGACCTGCACACTCACTCTGCTGCTAAATCCTTTTTGGCCTCTGATTCATCTGCTTCTTCCCTTTTTCCTTGTTTTTGGGGTGAGCTTGGGGGTGGGGTAAACATGGCAAGGGTCTCATGTAGCCCAGGTTGGTTTCTATGTAGCCAAGGATGACCTTGAACTCCTGATCCTCCTCCCTCCATTTCCTAAGTGCTGGGATTAGAGGTATTGCCCACTATACTCAGGTGTAGTTTGTGCTGGGGGTCCAGTCCAAAGCTTGGGAGATGATAGGAAGTGCTCCACCACCCAAGGTATGTTCTCTACCCTGTGTACTTCTTTTAAGAAAAGAAACTTTTCAGTGGTGCACACCTGGGAGGCAGAGGCAGAGGCAGGTAGATAGATCTCTGTGAGTTCAAGGCCGGTCTGGTCTATAGAGCGAGTTCCAGGATAACCAGGGCTACACAGATAAACCCTGTCTCAAGAAATAAAAGAAAAAAGAAAGAAAAGAAAAAGAAATATTTCATATGCCATCTGAAATTAGTTTGAAAGTGCCTTGATTGAAATCATTAACAAAAAGTTCCTGAGTTCTGTCCTCAGGAACTATGGGTCACGTGACTGGACAGTCAGCTGAAAAGGAAGCGCTCAGGTCGATGGAGAGGAAAGACCTCAGTACTCACCAGTGTCCGTCACTCAGCTTCGCGTAGGAGATCCATACACTACGAAGTACTTACATGGCTTCTTGTTTTTAGGTTTGGTCTGAGATTGGAAAAGGCTTTCTAGATGGGTCACTTGATAAAAATGCCACTCGGAAAAAACAGTATGAAGATGGTAAGTTTAGCCACTCTTTAATTCACTAGTTTTTGAGTAGTGCATGGTAGGCAGGTATTCTACTGATGATCCAGATCCCCAGGTCTCACCTGCAGAGTTTAATAAGGTTTCAAAGATACGTGCCCTGATTTTAGTAGTTTTATCTTGATTGGTGAGATTATTGGTCATTTATATTTTCTCTATGCTTTTTCCTTCTGCATTTCACTCAGTGACAGTTTTATTTCAGTGAAAGGTAAGAAAAAGCAGTAAGTAGAAACTGACACTGCACAGTACACACTCAGTACATGACTTGCGGAAGGCATGAGGGGACACTAGGAAGCCTTTCAATAGTGTATATTATGAATGATAAACACGGATGAAATTCTCTAAAAGAAGAAAGTATTTGTGAAGTTTTATTTTATTTGTTGTGTATTGGTGTTTCTCCTGCATGTACATCTGCGTACCACTTGCATTGCTGGTGCCCACAGAGGCCAGAAGCAGGTAATTATAGTTCCAGAGTTTCCATGCATGTGCTGGAAATCAAACCCAGTTCCTCTGGGAGAGCAGCTGTTGCTCTTAACCACTGAGCCACCTCTAGCCCTTGTGGAGACTTTTACATGTGTGTATGTGCTGCTGAGAATGTTAGGCATGTGTTCTACCACCTAGCTGTGCCTCTAACCCTCATTATTGGCAGTATTGTTTCTGTAAGTAGAAAACCAAAACCAAATCTGCTAAGGAAGTAATGTCAAAATGATTATTCTACAGGCATTTGTGAAAATATATCAAAAATTTAAAATTCTGTAACTTTTTTAAAAATTTTAAATGAATGAGGTTTTTTTTTATTTGTTTCATTTTGTTTTGAGACAGGGTTTCTCTGTGTAACATCTCTGACTGTCTTGGAACTTGCCTTGTAGGCCAGGCTGGCCTCAAATGCTGCCACCACCACCACCACCACCACCACCAGGCTATGGAAGAGCTTTTTGACTGCATGTTTGTATATGCGCAGTGTGTGTGCAGTGCCCTAGGAGTCCAGAAGAGGGTGCTGAATCCTCTGGAACTGGAGTTACAGATATTTATGAGTGGCCATGTGGGTGCTGAGAACTGAACCTGGGTCCTCTGCAAAAACAGCAAGTGCTCTCAACTGCTGAGCCCTCTCTCCAGCCCCCCAAATAAAAAAAAAATACTGTCATTATAAAACTGGGTGGAATTTTATGTTTTCTGACAGTGATTTATAAGATTTACATACAGGGGCTGGAGAGATGGCTTAGCAGTTGAGTTCACACCCTAGTATCCACATTGGATAGATCACAAACACCTGTAATTCCAGCTTCCAGGGATCTGATATCCTCTTACCTCTCCTTCATGCACTTTCACACATGTGCACACACATAAATAAAAAACAGACATTAGTAGAGTTTACAAAATAAAAAATAAAATTCACATAGAAGAGTAGTATTTTGTAGGGCTGGGGATGGCTCAGTTGGCAATGTGCTGACTGTCCCAGCACAAGTTCTTGGGTTCAGATTTAGCACTTAAACAGAATGTGGGTGTGGTGGCACACCCCTGTACTCCAGCACTTGAGGGGACAGCAGAGGGGGAGACAAGTAGATCCAAGGGCTTGCTGGCCAGCCAGCCTTGCTGAAATGCCATCCTCTAGGTCCAGTGAAAGACCTTATCTCAAAAAATGAGTTACAGCTCCCACAGCTAAGCACCGAGCCATACTCCTGGAATCCAATTGTAGAGAGGGGGGAGTGATGAGCAAAGCAGTCAAGACTGTGCTTGAGAAACCCACAGAAACAGCTGACCTGACTTAGTGAGAGCACAGGTCCCCTAGTCGTAAAGTTGAGGAACCAGCATTGGACCAAACCAAACCCTCTGAATGTGGGTGCCAGTTACAAGGCCTGGGCAGTCTATGGGACCTCCAACAGTGGAACCAGTATTTATCCCTAGTGCATTGAGATCCCATTCCCTGTGGAGGGACACTATTGCAGCCCAGATACACGGAAGATGGGCTAGGCCCTCCCCCAAATGATGTTACATACTTTGCTGATCCCCCCATGGAAGGTCTCCCTATCCTTGGGGAGCGGGTGGGGGGCATGGGAGGATTGGAAGGAGAGGGAAGGGGGGATTGATATGTAAAATAAGATTGTTTCTAAAATAAAAAAAAAAATAAGGTGCTAGACCATCAAAATGGCTTGGTGGGTAAATGTGCTTGCTGGGCAAACCTGCCAGCATGTGTGTGCATGCAGGGTAGAGTTTGATGTCTGATATTGTCCTCTGTGGCTCTTGACCTTAAGTTTTAAGACAAGTCTCTAGCTAACCCTAGAGCTCACTGGCTAGGCAAGACTAGCTGGCCAGTGAGCCCCAGTGCCTGTCTTTTTTCTTTACGTGAGTAATGGGTATATGAATCCAGGTTCTTGTGCTTGGGCAGCAAGTCCTTTCCAAAGCCATCCCTTGCTCATGCCAATAATGTATAACATGATTACTCTGACCTTGCTTCATCTTCTTTTCTTGGAACCAGGCAGGGTGATTAAAACACAGATCCTGCACAGTTGTACACTTGTGTGGTCCCAGCTACTTGGTGTGCTGAGATAATAGGATCATCCATTTGAATCCAGAAGTTAGAAACTCATCTCCCTAAGAGAAAAAAAGGCTTTATGAAGCAACAGAATATCTTCCATACATAATGGTATTGCTTCATAGACTTCTCTTAAGTGTTTTGTTATGACCTACTGTGTGCTGGTTCTTTCTATGTGCAAAGGCCACAAAACATCCTATGCTCATACTTACTGTTCTAGGGATCCTCCGGACACACCCACCAGAGGGCTTTAAAGCCAGTTTGAGGCATTTCTTGTGATAGTACTCATTGCCGTTCTCATCATTTGATGGATTCGTTTAGATTAATTCCCTTTGTAAAACCCAGATTTCAGAAATAGTCACAATAATTCCCAAGCTTCATTACACCACAGTTTTGTGTTGTTTTGTTTTAATAGTGAAGCCTGGCTTATGTCTCCAAACACTTAGATTCAATTGCTTTGAGGTTCGACTTGTGTTTTCCTATTTGTAGAAACGCCTCCCAGGTGGTTCCAATGTGCTGCAGGGTGGGAATTACTGCAGTATACCATCAGCAAGTCCTCCTTTCCATCGCTAATGTGTGGTCGTTATTCAATTCTTATCACCATTTGGTCAAGACTTTATACGGTCTTGCTAGGTTCTGAGAGATATTTATGAATAAGAAGAATCCTTGTATATAATTCTTGTTGGAAGAAATTAGAAATGATCTAAATTAGTAAATTTATAAAGTTTAAAAAGATGAAAACTGCTGTGGTGGAAAGACTAGAAAGGCTAGAGCATGTGGGGCAGAGAGGCTACAATTCTAATTATTGTGACAGGTGTCATCAGTTGAGATTATTGTTGATCAACAATTTATGAGATAGAGAAACCAGCCCTGCAGACCATGTGGGTACCTGGATGTCCACAGGAAGTCTGGCCAAGAGACTGTGAGTCAGAGTCTTAGAGGTCCAACTATTCCTGGTGTATTTGAAGCTAGTATGGTACAGTGATGATAATTACAAGTGAGAGATGGAGATGAGGTCTGGAAGATTAGACTGTGTATGGCTTAGAGCTGTTTATACGTGTATGTATATGTGTATGCATATGTGTGTATATGTATACATGTATGTATATGTAAGTATTCAACTAGGCTGGTTCTTTGATATAGGAAGCCAATAGATGTTTCTAAGCAGTTATGCTCTGAGTTACAATTTTTTTTCAAATCTTGTCTTCTGCTGGTAGATGAGAATGCCAGGACAGAGGCGGAGAGAATAATTCAGTTGCTCTTGCAATGAAGCAGAGGCTAAGGCTTGGACTAGGTGCAGACCAGCAGATAATGAGGGACAGAAACAAGGGAGCAACAAAAAAAGTCTGTGCTTGGAAGATAGAACCATCCACCCTAGATCATGTGTTAAATATGGAGGTAGAAGGCAGGCTGTTGAGCCAGAGTGACTAAAATAAGATTCCTAATAAAGACGCTGGGGAACCTTGGGAAGATACGGTTTTGCAGAGTGATCAAGAGTTCATGTAATATGCTTCAGGTACCCAAGTGGAAACATTGAGTTTGCAGTTTGGAGGAAAGAGGTCCTGGCCAGAAGTGAAAGTTTGCAAGTATTGGCTACATAGTTTTAAAATCTTGAGACCATAGATCACCAACATAGCAAATGTAGATTGAAAGGGAGGTCTAAAACAAAGCCTTTACATCGTAAGATCTAGGCCAGCCTGGGCTAAATAGTAAGACCCTGTCTTCAAACAGACTAACCAAAAACAGAAAGAAGGAAGAAAAGAGAAATACACAACACCCAGCCCTTGGACATAGCATTGTTGAAACATTCAAGAACCAAAAGTAGTTAAAATGAGATGGTATGGACAGTAGGACAGTAAGAGGAGTGTAGAGTTCTAGGAGGCATTGGGAGCAGTGCTTCCTGTATTGAGTTCTAATTCCTGTATTGAGTCACCAGTCATAGGGTAGGTCAGCGAAGATGAGGGATGAAGCAAATCTTTGGATTGTTTTTATGGCCATTAGTTACCAGCTATTTGTGTCTTATTAGGTTTTAGAATTTACCTTTCTGATTATTTCCTGTTTCTATTTTTTGATGAGTGAAACTTGATTTGGGAGAAGCAGTGCAGTTAAGAGGACAGGATTTAGAAAGAAGGATTAATATTGATGGAGAAGAGAAACTTGTGTGTTTGGAAGCCTGTGTGGTGTGAGAATTGTTTTACGTTTTCACCTGGGTGGTAATAATTTAGATATTTCTTTAAACTCAATTACTTCTTGAATTGCATATAGGTATTTTATACAGTTTTTAATTTGTGTCTGAAATTTAATAAGGAAGAAAAATACAATGAATTTAAACACAAATTTGCTTTTTAAATTATTGGTTATTGACTTCAAAGGTTTTGTTCTGCACATAGTAACATTGAACAGATTTTGTTTCATTTTTTTGTTGTTTTCTTTTTTAAGGCTGGGTTTTTCTGTGTAATCTGGCTGTCTTAGAACTTGTTCTGAAAAAAAAAAAAAAAGAGTTTGTACACCAGGGTGGCCTGGAATTCACAGAGATCTGCCTGCTTCTGCCTCCTGAGTGCTGGGATTAAAGGTGTGCTCTACCACCACCCAGCCTAAACAGAATTTTTTAAGGAAATTTAATCTCCACAAATACTTATATTCTTAATTATTTTTTTACATTTTCTTCTTTAAGCCCTCATGCAGTTGGAATCTATTTTAAAGAAAATCATAAAGGAACGAAAAGGAAGGAACTTCGGTCAACACATCTTCATTGACTTCTTAATGCAAGGAAACCTCAATGAGCAGCAGGTGATAAGGGGTTAAGCATTTATGGGGAAGGTCACATATGCATTGAGCACTTTTCTGTCAGTCCTATGGCCTCCAAGAGGTTGGGTGTCTGTTTTGCTATACTATCATAAGTAGCCAAATGTCCCCCTAGTTTACCCCTGAAGCTGCTGTAGAACCTTTAAAATTAGGATAAGCAAACATCAAAACCAAATGATCTGCTCATGTGTGTATGAGTCTTGATGGACTCAGACTTCCTGTCCACATGGCCAAGTTCAATGATTGTTTGTTACCAGCATAGTGCTGTGTTTATGGTGTTGTCAGGCTAGGGTCAGCAGTGGCATCCTTGCCACTTCACGTCATTATAGGAGTCCCAACATGGCATGTACAATCTCCAGTAGGCAGAAGGAAGTTTCTGGATGTGAGTGTCTGCAGAAATTGACCAGGTTCAGAGGACGGTAACAGGCACTTCTTCCCTATGCCAAGACAGTGTTGTTGCACCAGGCCAAGCCATGAAAATAACACTGAAAAGATTTGCCTATGGTGAGCCTGTAAGGCTACTAAGAAATAAATGACTATTATGTCAAAAGGCTGTGCAAACAGGAGCAGGGGCACACACTTTTAATCCTGACACTCAGGAGGCAGAGGCATGCCAATTTCTGAGTTCTAGGCCAGCCTGCATAATGAGAACCATCTGGGAAAAACAAAAGACCATGCAAGGTAGCATCCACCCATGACAGGGTGGATAGGAGCAGGTGGGGCTATGATTGTCAAAGGACAAATTTAATTAAAAATGACAAAAGTAAAAGGTAAAATTAACACAAGATAATAGGCAGTCCAGTATTTAGAGATTTTTATTTGTTCTTTTCTTTAACATGTAAATGTGTGAGCCTGTGTGAGATTATGTATACTGTGTGTGTGCAGAAGCCCTCAGAGGCCAGAAGGGGGCGTCAGATCCTCTGAAACCAGAGTTACAAGTGGTTGGGAGCTACGCCTTGTGCTTGCTGAGAACCAAACCTATGTCCTCTGTAAGAGCAGAGAATGCTCTTGACTGTTCAGTCACCTCTCTGGCCCTGCAGCCCATTGTTTAGATTGGTTGTCACAGTGAAGACCTAGTAAAGAAATAATGCATTTCCCCCCACTTTTTATTCACTTAAATTTATCCTCTAGATTATTTTAGTAGGAGTTAGTACAGATCACCTTATATTTCATACTTTCTAAACTTAGTTTTGTCTTGTAGATCCTAGAAGACAGTATGATATTTTCTCTGGCCGGTTGCATAATAACTGCAAAGTGTAAGTATGAATTGATTTCCCTCAGATAGATTACAGAACGTACACTGGTCAAGCTCTTCTGAAGAGAGAAACACTGAAAGAGGCCTTTGTAGTTTTCCTTTCTTGCTGTTTTATTCTTGATTGAAAAGCTGGCTTCAAGTGGTGCCTCCCCTGCACACATGGGTTCAATTTCACCTTTGAAAATTGCCATAAATTTCTTGGCACATTTTATGGATTGTGAATTCTAGTTATCGCCTTTCAAATGAGCTGCTTTCCACACCTTTCCTGGTGAGCGATAAGCTTTTCCATTTCCTTTCCTGCTCCCCTCCTCCCCTCTGGTGCTAAGGGTTGAGCCCAAGTTCTTGTCCACACTAAACAGACAGTCCCTCACTGGGTCACAGCCCCTCTGTTGCTGCTTTCCATCGATTCCAAGCTGGTTTGCTGTTACTAAGGACTTGAATTGGAAAGGACTCTCTTCTTGGAATTGAACATGATTTCTATTTAAAATTCTAAGGTGTGTTACCTGCATTGGTTTGTAGCTTTATAGAGAACAACACATTGATACAGTATTTATAAAAATGTTTATAACATAAAAAGGCATAATATAAAATGCTTCCAGAAAGTATTCAAGTACCAGGTTAAAATGTGGAAAATTTATGTTCACTTGAAGGACTTAATTTGCACATCATTTCAAGGAAAAGTTTTTTGAATGGTGAAGGCTGCTAGTGTAAACATCCCACACACTTCTCTTCTTTAACATTCAGCTGTGTCTAGATGTTATGGACTAAATGAAATGTATGCAGATGTGTCAAAGATCTCAATTATTTAAAAATTTATTATTTAAATATTTTCTTGCATTTATCTGTTGTGGCAGTGGGCACATGCCATGGGGTGAGCACACTGTTAGAGTTTAGCTTACCATAGACGATACCAGGAATCAGACTCAGGTCATTAGACTTGCCAGCAAGTGAATTTACCTGCTGAGCCATCCCACAGCCCATCAATTTTTTTTTAATGCTTATTTGTTTTAAATCTATATTACATTAAAATGTACCTTTCCTAAAAGCTTTTTAAAAATGGAATTTAACCTGGGCATGGTGGCACATGTCTAAATGCCAGTATTGAGGAGGGTGAGTTGGGCAGGTCACAAGTTCCATGCCATCCAGAGCCACGCAGTCAGGCCCAGACTCAAAAACAGAAACAAAACAAAACTGAGTTTATTATGCTGTGACCACCACAAAAATTGGTCATCTCACAGGTAGAATTAACAGTTACATCTCATTTTCAGTTTTTAGGGAGAGTTTATAAAGAACATTCCTATTTCTTTGCTGTGACTTTTCTTAAAAGATGTATTTATAATGCTTTATTAGTTTTACATGATAATGGAGTTAAGCAGGACATACGGATGACTACTGTATGCAAATCCTTATTAGTAGTATATGGATACACTACTATATATATAGATAGGCAGATACTGTAAATTTGTACTGCATATTTTAATGTATATTGTAAGTTATGTATGTTTACATATCATTTGTGAAATAGAAATGCTGTGGTTCACCCAAAAGCCATCTTGGGCCAAACTTAGTAAAGTGGCACATGCCTTTAGTCCCAGCACCTAGGAAGCAGAGGCAGGCAGCTCTCTGAGAGTTTGAGGCCAGCCTGATCTACAGAGTAAGTTCCAAGACAGCCAGGAAGTATAGGAAAAGTTAAGGATATAACCAGTTACTCTTGAATAATTGGATTACCAGGCAGCTATTGACTTTTAGAGGCAACAAGTGACTCAAACATACATATTTAAAAAGTTAACTTTGGGTTTTGTGCGTGTATTTCAATGTTATACAACAGCTTGTACTGGAATAATAATGATAATAATAATAATGAGAATTTAATTTTGAGCTTGTCCTCAGTCTATAAACAAAAGGTAATTGATAAGGAGAGGGAAACAGTACTCAATACACATTACAAAGCACCTGCAATAGAAAAGGTAGTGCTGTAGGTACTGTTGCTTATGCATAGTCTAGGGAAAGGATTTCTTGGAACAGTTAGGCAGCATAGCTACTTTGTTTCCTCTGCTTTCTGTTCATTTACCCTGAGAAAATAATCCAGCTGAAACCAGAGGTGAGCCAGAGCCAGTGTCTGTCAGGGTACTTACTAAAAGTGCATATGAGGGCCAGGGACATGACTCAGAGGGTGAAGGTGCACCAACATGGTGACCTTAATTCAGACCCAGGAATCCACAAGGTGGAAGGAGGGAACTGACCCCACAGACATGTCAACACACTTACATATGCATATGTACATACATACATACATACATACATACATACATACATACACACACAGTAGATAAATAAATGTGACTGAAGTTTTAAAAATAGCACAGATGGGTGAACCTTACCCCCAACCCATGGAATCAGAATCTTTGGATGTTAGGTTGCAGCACCAATAAACTCAAATGATTTGGGAGAACCAATAGCCCAAACAATAATTAATTATTAAAAGTTTTAAAAGATTGAATATTGTCATATGAGCAAATCTCCCCCAATGTGATTTATAGGAATCTCACTGGTGTCAGGTAGGATTATGCAAGTAGTGTGGTTTCCTGCCAGATTTCAGAAAGATGATGTCGTCATTGCTCCGTGTGTGTGTGTGTGTGTGTGTGTGTGTGTGTGTGTGTGTGTTCCCCCATCTTCTACACACATTCGTGTTCTGTTCAAAACACTCAAATCCTGTGAAGAATTTTGTTTTAATTTTTGGTAATTTTTATGTACATCTGCCAGGAAAAAAAAGAAAGAAAATTTACAAACTAAACCTTTAGCTTTTTTTTCCTTATTTTATACCAAAAAATATGCAGTAGCTATTTTCACTGACATTAATGCAATTTTTACATAGTGTGTACCTGGGCAATCTGTTTTCTGACAACATCTGAAGAAGTTCAGAAGAAGCTATATAAGGAGATAGACCAAGTTTTTGGAAAGGGTCCTATTACTTCAGAGAAAACTGAGCAGCTAAGGTAAGACTACAGTGAAAGGAAAGAAATGATTAAAAAGGCAAGTATCGGGTGGTTTATTTATTAACATAAAGCTTATGCTAATATGTAGAAAAGATATATATTAAAATATTTACATAGATTTTCATTTTGATTTCTTTTTGTTTATTTAAAAAATGATTTAGATGGTCATAGTGGTCATTCATACCTTTAATCCCAGTACTTGAGAGGCAGAGGCTGGTGTAACTCTGTGAGTTCCAGGACAGAGCTACAATAAGGAGACCCTGTCTTGCAAAAAAACCAAAAAATTATATGTGTCTGTATCTGTAAGAGTATTTGTGCACGTGTATATGTGGGTGCCTAGGGAGATCAGAAGAGGCAGTTGGAGCCCTTGGAGCTGGAGTTGCAGTTAGTTGTGAGCCACTAACTGGGTACTAGGATCCAACTCAATCTGGTCTTTTTCCTTTTCTTTTGTAAATCTTACTTTTATTCTTTCTCTGTGGCTGGCTGTGTGGCTGAGGGGGTGGCCCCTGAAGTCCTCCTCCTTCCTCTCTCATTCCCAGATCCTTTTTTTTTTTGTTTTTGTTTTTGGAGACAGGGTTTCTCTGTGTAGCTTTGGAGCCTATCCTGGCACTCGCTCTGGAGACCAGGCTGGCCTGGAACTCACAGAGATCTGCCTGGCTCTGCCTCCCGAGTGCTGGGATTAAAGGCGTGCGCCACCAACGCCCAGCGAGTAGCAAGCACTCACTCTTTTAACTGTTCTTGACAGCCCCTGTTTCTGTTTTTGAGGCAAAGCTTTACTGTGTACCCAGGGGGCTCACAAACTTGTAATCCTCCTACCTCAACCTCCTGGCTGCTAGGGTCATAATTATGTCCCATTTATACACAGATTTTAACAGATTAAATTTAATATCTAAAATCATAAAAGTAGTTCTGGGAGCTGGAGACGTGGCTCAACAGTTAAGAGTACTGGCTGCTCTTCTACATGACCCAAGTTCAATTCCCAGCACCCACTTGGTGGGTCACAACTATCCAGTTCCCAGAGGTCCAGTGCCCTCTTCTGGCCACCATTAGCAGTACACACTAATGTGATGCAGACATGCATGCTGGCAAAACACCTATATACACAGAATAATAATATGTTTAAAAACGCCGAGCAGTAGTGGTGCACACCCTTAATCCCAGCAGTCCGGAGGCAGAGGCAGGTGGATGTCTGTGAGTTCAAGACCAGCCTGGTCTACAAGAGCTAGTTCCGGGACAGCCTCCAAAGCCACAGAGAAACCCTGTCTCCAACACCCTTTCCCCCCTCCCCCCCAAAAGTTTAGAAACAAGACTATGCAACTGTTGTGTGATATTAAAAGAAATAAAGTAGTTCTAGAGAACCTTTTAATTAGCCTATATGTTGTACCAATGATGTCAAGCATGTGGATTTATACTTTGTTTATAGGAATACAAAATAATGCAGGCACACTGGGAAATGCTGTAGTAGGATTTTGTAATGTTAAAGCATATATTCAGCTTCTCTCTGACTCAAACATCCCTCAGCATCTCTAGGTAGTTGCTCAAGAGAAATGAAAGCAGGCCTATACAAAGACCTCTGTGCAAATGTTGGTAGCTGTATAATTCAGAACGCACAAGAGCTGAAAGTCCGGATTTTACCAACTGGCAAATTGTGATATTGCCATACTGTGGGAGGCTGCTAATTAATAGAAAAACAATATCAATATATACAACCACTTGTTAAATGAGAGAAAGGGCAAAGGACTGCCTACCACACTGTTTCACTAATGTGAAATTCTACAAAAGTCAGCATTAGCTCGATAGAAGGCCTTGCCACTTTCTCCAACCTGCTCTCCAAGTTGCTCCTGGGGTTGTGGTTGCACACTGTAGTCATTTGGGCCACTTTAAAAGACAAGCATCTACCTGGAAGCAATCTCAAACTGCTCTGCAGTCTCTGAGCCTCAGAAGGTTTCACAATGTTCAGTCTTAACACAAATACCCATCCCCTCACCAAAATAAAAGTTTCCCAGGTACCTGGAACAGGAATTACAGACTGTTGTGAGTTATCATATGGGTGCTGGGATATAAAGCTAGGTCCTCTGAAAGAGCCACCGATGTTAGCAACTTCTGAGCCATCTCTCCAGCATACTCATGGGGGTTTGACCTCCATTCTGCCAGTGTTTGTCATGTGTATTGACTTCAACACATCTCTTTAATTTTTTTTTTTTAAAAAACAAAACAGATATTGCCAGCAAGTGCTTTGTGAAACTGTTCGGACTGCCAGACTAACCCCAGTTTGTGCCCGGCTTCAAGACATTGAAGGAAAGGTTGGCCCATTTGTTATTCCTAAGGAGGTAGGAAATGTTCAGTGTATTTAACTTAGTCAGCTTATCTTCAGCTACTTTGGTATGTGTTTTTATTTTCTTTTAATTGAAAGTAAATCTTTTTCAGATGGTATATTCTGATCATTTTCCCCTCCCTCATCTCCTCGCCTCTCCTCCCCATCCTTCCAACTCCATGGTCTTTTTCCTCTCGTTAGAAAACAAACAGGAAAGTAAAGAAACAATACATACAAACAATCAAGAAAAACACATTCACAACACAGATTTACACACATAAAACAATAGAAACATAAAATTGGAAACCATAATGTACAAGCAAAAGATCGGTAAGTTAAAAAATGCCCAAAGAAAGCATTTTGAGTCAAGTCTCCAAAAGGACCACTGAGTTCGTTTTTGTGGTGACAGGCTCCAGCTGGGCTGGTATGTGTGCTTAAATTGTATTCCTGGAGGTATTCAGTAAGCGCTACCGTCACCGAGTCACAGCCAGCATAGTTGTGGGATAGCATGGATTTCTTTTGTCTTGCTTCCTGTCTCCGTGTACTCCTGTCAACTGTCTATACTTTTCTTCACTCTTGTGTGTGATTATTGTGCTGAGTGTTGTGTGCTGCACAGATGCACATATGTTATCTTAAACACTCAGATTAGAGCTGGTAAGATTACCCAGCAGACAAAACCCCCAATGTGCAAGCCTGGTGACCTGAGTTTGATCCCCAGAACCCACATTAAGTAGGAGAGGACTGGCTCTAAAGAGTTGGAGTCTGATCCACATACATGCTGTGGCACACCCATGATCATACTCAAACATCATACACACAATAATAATAATAGTTTTTAAAAACTGAGTCTTAGTATGAAATCTTAATATGGTGTTATTTACTTTCTCTTTCTTTTTTTTTTTTTGGGGGGGGGGTTTCTGAGACAAGGTTTCTCTGTGCAGTCCTGGCTATCCTGGAACTGCTCTGTAGACCAGGCTGGCCTCGAACTCACAGAGATCCACCTGCCTCTGCCTTCCTAGTGCTGGGATTAAAGCCTGGCTCATTTTAACAGCCATGTAGTGCACTGTATGAATTGTATGTGTCATATCAATTTATGTCCTGTAAATAAGGCTGTCCCACTAATGAAGATTTAGATTGACATTCTCTTTTTTGTTTGTTTGATTTTTGAGACAGGGTTTCTCTGTGTAACTTTGGAGCCTGTCCTGGACCTCTCTCTATAGACCAGGCTGGGTTCTGCCTCCCGAGTGCTGGGATTAAAGGCATATGCCACCAACTCCCGGCAGACATTCTCTTTTTATTATTAAAAATTATGCAGTTGTAATGGTATTGGATAATACCTTAGAAATGGAGTTTTTGAAAGCTGAGCATAGTGTTGCATACCTTTAATACCAGTACTTGAGAGGCTGAGGCAGGAGGATTTCCATGAGTTTGAAGCCATCCTGCAAGACAGTGTGCTGGAGGTCAGCCTGAGCTGCATAGTGAGGAAATGGAGTGTTTGGATCAAAAACCATGTGTTGCCTACAGGGACTGAAGTTAGCTCAGGTGGAGTCCTTGACCAACTCTGCAAGGGGTCCTGGTTTTGAGCCTGAGCACCACCAAATGAATTATTTCATTAATGACAAATGAATCTTTTAAAAGGCAAATTATACTTCACTAATAATGATAGTGCATGCTTCCTCAGAGTTAGGGGTGTGGCCCAGTGACAGTACTTGCCTAGCTTGTGTAGAGGTTAATCCTTAGTACAAGATGACTAACTAACCAAATCACAAAGGCCTTTTAAGACTCTGGGTACAGCTCAGTGGGCCCTGGGGTTCAGTCCCTAGTGTGCGGACGCGCGCGCGCGCGCACACACACACACACACACACACACACACACACACACACACACACACACACACACACACAAATCCCCCAGTTCTTACCACTTTGGATTTATGATTTATGGATTTATGGATTTTTTTTATTTCATTGTTTCACTTGCATCTCTCTGGTAATTAGAAAGATGGAACCGCTTTTCACACGTGTATCAACAGTTTGCATTTCTCTTCTCACCCTGTTCTTCCTGGTAAGCTGTCTGCGTGTTCCTCGGCTGTCAGTCATGTTTTGGATTTCTTCCTGTTTACAATCCTCTTCCACCAATGCTCACAGTAGTTTTCAGCTCTTAGCCATATGCAGGCTTTAAATTTTCATATAGCCAAGACTGCTTTTTCCTGCATGGCACCCAGATACTGTGGCATGCTTCAGAAGTCTGATCTGTTGTAAGATGACCAAGCTAACGGCTGGTGGTGACTTTGTCGCTTCACATTTCCACTAGCTTTGGGGGGTGACTTGTGTTGCGTTTATTGCGCTTGACTAACTAGATTTTGTTTTTTAGACCCTCGTCCTTTATGCCCTCGGTGTGGTTCTTCAGGACCCCAGCACTTGGCCATCACCGCACAAGTATGAAATAGTGTTATGTCTTTTTGATTGCTGGTTCTTATGTGCATGCCTATTTGCATTGCTTTCCCATGTTTTGAAGAGAAAATTCACTATGGGGAATGACGTGACAATGGAAGCCATTCTACTTCTGCCCGCTCTTTGCTGCTGCTTCTCCTCCATTGTCTCATTCCTCTACCTGCCCTCCTTTCTACCCTCTCTCTCCTTTATTGACTGATTGATTCATTGATTGATTGATTCTTGAGGCAAGGTCTTGCTTGATAGACCGTGCTGGTCTGGAACTTGTGATCCTGTCTCAGCCTCCCAAATGCTGCCTAATGTGACATGTGACACTATGTATTTTGATTTGTGGTTTTGTCTCTTTTATTATCACTTCTACCTCATAATCTGTATGGTTATCTGATTCTATAACTGTCCTTTAGTCTTAATAGATTTTTAAAATAGATGATGTTGCTCATGCAGCTTTTTTTATAGAAACAAAAACTTTTTAAAAGTATAGAAAATCTAAAGTTACTTCCTTAGGTACATTTTCTTTTCCTTTTTTTTTTCAACAAACTTAACAATGAGTTTATTCCTGGATATAAAGCATTCTTCATAAATCTTTTTTTTTAGAAAGAAAATTATTTTACATGTCAATCCCAGGTCCCTCTCCCTCCCCTCTTGCCCCCCCCCACACACACACAACTAACACCCTACCTATCCCATACCCTTTCTACTCCCCAGGGAGGGTGAGGCCTTCCATAGGGGGTCTTCAGAGTCTGTCCTATTCTTTGGGATAGGGCCCAGGCCAACCCCCTTGTGTCTAGGCTCAGGGAGTATCCCTCCATGTGGGATGGGCTCCTAAAGTTCATTCCTATGGTAGCGATAAGTAAGTCATGCAGCTTTTTCATAGAATCCAGAAATCACTGCTGTGTGTCGTGTGTGGGAATGGTGAGGGAGAGGTACTGCCCCGGGCTAAACTTAGATACATGGTCATGTTTTGAGATTGATTATAAAGCAGTGCAAATGTAAGAGGAAGTCTGTGATGGGACTGAGTCATGAGCATGCTAAGGTTGGGTGTATTAAATGTTCCTGTCACTTTAGCTTTTGTTTCAGTATCTTAACATTAAAGGTTCTTAGTAAAACAGCTGATCTTAAATTTTCATTCTAAAACTATTGACTATTTTATATTCAAAATGACTTTAATAACAAAATTAAAGATGTGCTTCTGTAAAAATATGTGTGGCTATATTTACAGAAAACTAAAATTTGAAAAAAAATTGTTTATTATTTTTTTCCTGAGACAGGGTTTCTTTGTATAGCCCTGGCTGTCTTGTAACTCACTCTGTAGACTGGGCTGGCCTCAAATTCAGAGATCCACCTGCCTCTGTCTCTCGAGTTCTGGGATTAAAGGCATGCACCACCACCTCCTGGAAAAATTTGAAATTTTTTAATCTTAAAAAAAGAAATAAGAAATCTGCCAGGTGGTGGTGGTGCACACCTTTAATCCCAGCACTTGGGAGGCAGAAGCAGGTGAATCTCAGTGAGTTCAAGGCCAGCCTGGTCTACAAAGCCAGTTCCAGGACAACCAGGACTGTTAAACAGAGAAACCCTGTCTTGAAAACCAAAAAAAAAAAAAAAAAAAAACAAAACAAAACAAAAACAACCAAAAATCTATGTGAAAAATACCAAGTTTTTGATAACTTGAAGTGAGATATGAAGAATCTAGCTGGACATGTTGCTCATGTGCAAGGCCTGGATTCTGTTCTAGTGCCATAGGGAGAGAGAGGAGAAGGGGGAGAGAGAAAGAGGAGGGACTTCTTTGGAAGTAGAGAACTTAGCAAAGCACCTACTATGTAACACATAGTTGATAAGTGTGCATGTGCAGCACTCAAGGTCAAGTGCTATGCTGAGCATTTTGTTTGTATTTAAGTAAAATACAAATATACCATGTCCTCTCTCTCTCTCTCTCTCTCTCTCTCTCCCTCCCTCCCTCCCTCCCTCCCTCTCTTTCTCTCTCTGTCTCTCTCTCTGTCTCTCTGTCTCTTTCTCTCTCTCCTACTCCTCCCATGTCCTCTCCTCTTAGACCATTGTTGTCACATATGCATATAAATGAATCCTCATATATCCTGAGTCCGCCCTGTGCTGCCTGCATGTGTGTCTTTCTGAGGCTGGCCACTGGATGTTGGATGGACAGAGAGCTCATCTCTACAGGACACTAATCCTCCTCTCAGCAGTTGTTAGTTGCTTGTAGCCCCTCATTTATGGGTGGGGCCTGGTGAGATTCCCTCCCCCCATCTTGAAAATGTCAGGTTTTGCTCGGGCAACCATGTTGTTGAGATGCCATGGGTGCATCTTCCCTGCGATAACTAGAAGGCACAATCTCACAGCTGACTTCCTGATCCTCTGGCATGAGATTTTTTTTCTTACCTCATCCTATTTAATTCTCTCAACAATCCATGAGCTGAGTCTTCTACAGCTGGAGAGACTGGTTAGAGAGATGACATTTACACAACAGTGCGAATAGAAACAGAACACCAGCATTTGACCGCTGTTGGCCTTTGCTATGTACACAGCTGTGAAAGTGTACAGACACTTACAACCTTCTGCAAGACAAATTAATGCAGATATGCCTTTTGGCATATTGTAAAGACTGATGTTTTAATAATCTGTGACATTGCTCATACCTGTGTTCATTAGAATCTCAATACTCCTGTGTACATGGAAGGACAGACGCTCTCCACCAGGCCCACTAGCATGTGTTCAGGGTTCCTCTTCTCTAATACAGTTTAGATCTTTTAAAAACATTTGTATTTTAAAAGAACTTATGTGTTTTCTTTTGAATGTTTCTACTTCTCCAGTAGCATTTGACAGGCAAAGTCTAAAATAAAAAAGCCTTTCTTGGCCTCTTAATATCTTTCACTTATAGTAAATACAAACTCAGTATAATTGGTAAATTTCAAGGCTCAAATGCCTAATTTTAATTGAAGACACCATGTGACCTGCTACATTGCTGGATCTGAGGAATGTATTTTTTTAAATCCACTGTTTAGAGGTAACATTTGAGAAATAGCAAGAGACTAAATGTGTATGTGTTCAGTGGTTTGGGAGTAGACTTAAACTGTTACAGCCTATGCATTTAGTGTTGCAAGTGGGACTATGTTATGGTGACCTCTGATTTTCCTTTTAGGTTTGATCCAGATCGCTTTGCTGACGAATCAGTGATGAAAGTGTTTTCCTCACTTGGCTTTTCAGGGACATGGGAATGCCCAGAACTGAGGTAAAGGCCGGGGACAGCAGTGAGAAAGGAAAGTCGCCATTCTCACTTGCTCAAAATCAGATGATCTCTCTAAATGACAGTGAGCGATATAATTTTAATGTCGAATTCTTAATCTTTAGTAACTGGTCCATCTCTTCTTCTGGATCAGGTTTGCTTACACGGTGGCCACAGTGCTAGTGAGCGTGCTGGTGAGGAGACTGCACCTGCTTGCTGTGGAGGGACAAGTTTTTGAGATGAAGTATGAACTGGTCACATCATCAAGGGAAGAAGCGTGGATCACTGTCTCCAAAAGACACTAGACATTAGTCTTTATTAAGTAGATGGAGGGAAATGCCTATGTAGAATCTGTGCTGAGTCCTTTTACAAACCCAGCATCATTTTGTAATGTAAAACCTATCAGTGCTTTGTGAAGTACATATGGATTTTTATATACCAAAATTTCTTAATGTGTAATACACATTCATACTTATTGCACCAATATATTGACAATTTTAATAGGAAAGTTTAATTTTTTTAATTTGCATCACTTTCTAAGCCATTATTTTTAATCTTGATTTTTCTTAGGTTGATCTGCCTCTCTATATATAGTTTTTCTTCCCGAGACAGGGTTTTTTTGTGTAGCCTTGGCTGTCCTGGAACTCACTCTGTAGAACAGGTTGGCCTCAAACTCATAGAGATATGGGCCACCACCATCTGGCTCAAATGAATAACCTTAGAAGTGAATTCCTTTGTGTAAGTGGGAGAATCATGTTTTCTGAATATTCATAAAGAGAAACAATGCTACCTCCTTTTGCTTTCTAATAAATCACCTATCACTCTGTTTTGTTTTCTGAGTCTTAATTGGTGTCTTAATCATGTTAATTGGGCTTTGGTAATTTCCTAGGCATTCTGTGTAGTGTCTGCTGTATTTTCTCATCGATCCTGAGCGTTTGTCTATAAGCTTGCAAGTGGCTCAGCATTTTGAGCTGTTCAGAATCATCTGGGAACAGCAGATGCTTCTCAGTGGTCTTCAAAGCGAGTGTCCATCCTATGTGACCAATGGAGGCGGAAGCTTGTCCTGTTTCGCTGGAAATCTCAAAGCACTCTGTTAAACTCTACTTTCCATGTAGAGACAAAGAATTCCCAAGTTGGGAATTAATTATGATGTCATACGACACAAAATGAACACTTTAATAAGAAAGAATAAAGCACTAGTCAAAAGCCACAACCAAAGTGGGGTTGGAGAAGAGAACAGACGTCTAAAACTGTAAGCCATAGCGTAGATAAGGAAGTACCCATATGACAGGTGAAGAGCTCACACACACTGTTAAGGATCTGGGGACGTGGCTCAGTGGTAAGCACTTGCCTTGCATGTGTTGCCTTGAGTTTGGTCCCCAGAACCTTGTAAACAAACAAACAAAAAAAGGAAGTAGATTAAGAAAATACACAATAAGATTCATGGACAAAAAGACGAGAATGGAGAAATGGCTGCAGTTTTCTACAGCAGTGTTCAGTCATTAGTAAGGAAAGTGGGGCTAAAGTTACTTAATATCTAAAGTATCTTAAGAATTGTTCAAAATATACTTTAGCACTAGTAGAAGTTTTATTTTCCATGCTTTATTGATAGCATTATTTTTTAGTTCACCTTTGTTTTGTCTTGTGCTATAATGATGAAGAATTTCCTTTCTGCTCTTCTACTGAGTTGTCACCACAACCCCAGATTCTTTTCCCTAGCCCAGATGCGCTGCTACTTGTTGAGTTTTTGTTTTGTTTTTTTTTTTAGTAAGAAATCCCTTTTCTGGATCTGCAAGATGGCTCAGCTAGTAAGGCACCTCCCACCAATCCTGATGACCTGTGAACATTACAATTGGGTGATTGTCCAGGCATCGATATGTTTCTGTCAATTCTATAGTTTATATATTATCCTTCTGTGGTCTTTGATGGAGATGAAGATAGATAGTTATGGTTATGGTTTCATTAGTTATGATAAAAGATAAGTTACATGTAATACTATATACTCACAGAGAATATTTTCTTTAAATCTTGCTAAATGTTAATGGACTAAATATTATAACTATAGTTCTTACTTGATAACTGTTTTGTTATATGTAATTTTACTATGTTAAAGTTAAAGCCCTTTTTATTTAGACAGAAAAGAGGATGTGATGGGGAATGTTCTTCTGTGTATATGTTTTGAAAGACCCCCAACTCAAACCCAGCCTGATACCCACCAGCATTTATTTGAAAATCACTCTGGCTACCCACACAGCTCTGGGAAAAAGAAATGGTCAGTCATGATGACCAGTCTCTAGAAATTGTTATTATTACTAGTTT